ATGCTTTGTGTAAAAAGGGATGATCAATATACAGGGTGTCCCAAAAAAATGCATCCACTGTTTGATTGTAAATAACTCTCTTATTATGAGGTCTTTCGAAAAGCGCTAAGTGCCATTTTGTGAAGCTGGCTTTAACTAAGATTTACATTTTAGAGCAAGTCACCCATCTCTCTTCATTACTGTAGGATTACGGTGGAAACTTCAAAGAGGGTTTTGAGCCATGAAAGACCATTGCCTCAGAAAGGACACAAAACAGCCTGAAAACTTTTACTCTAGGCTAAATAGAGTTGCTGATTATAACTGTAAAGTTTTCAATTTATTATGATGCTTTATTGAAGAGTTATGCCAGGTAAGAGGTAGTGGTCATTTTTTCAATGTTCCTAAAAAATGCGGTTACACCGTTCAAAAAGCTACGCAATTTTGTGAGTAGTTGAGTATTGGACTCAGCGTCCATAAAAGGCCCTATTGCACAAGTTTTTACTCTTTTTTTCAGATTTTGAAACGGCGGCTTTTTCCCATTGGCACCATATGTTTCAAGTTTTTACTGTAATTATACAGTAATGAGTAGGGATGGGTGATTCGTTCTATACAGCAAATCTAAGTTGAACCTCGCTCTACAAGATGGTACCTAAAGCTTTCAGAAACACTTCATCACAAGAGAGTCATTTACAATCAAACAGTGGATACATTTTTTTTGGGACACTATGTACAAGTCTTACCCAGCTTACTCCGGCTCATGCACATTTTATCAGTGAGTAGGCATTAAAGTCGCTCCCGTGTATAGATGGTAGGCGCAATGATTAAGTAACAAACTACGCGTACGGGTATATCGGCGAATTTCTGCAGATACGTTCTGCAGTAAAGGATTGATAGGATTTTCCCCAACATGGTCTGTTGCGCTTATCAGCTTATGGTTTCCAGATAAGGTTTGTTCACAAAAGCATCGCTTGACATTCTAACGCTGCATCAAGAACTATGCTATTGAATCATTCTCGTTATTTGCTATCTTTTCTGTGGAGCGATAGCTGGCAATTGCTCATACGGAACTGCTACTGATTCAAATGAACACTGCATTCATATTGAAAAAACAACCAAGTAAGTAACCAGAAACTAAGCTAATTTTCATAATGCGATTGAAGCACTTATTCTAGCATGATGTTTGAGTGCTCATTTTTCTGCATCGAAAGAAAAGTCATTGCTCTATTTGCAACTTTCCATAAACTTCAAGGAACATTCATTTATCATACATCATAACTTTTGTCCGTAAAAACCTAAGCGTTATCTGAAGTTATCTTTTCTACGCCATACAGGATCAATGTGATCAACAGTTCAATTGGCCTCACAGTTTGGCAAAAATGGCTTTTTTGAAGGCTTGAAAATAGGACAGTCACCGAATTAGTTTACAGGTTACTTCTTCTTCGAACATGGCTGTTCGATATATCTAAAGCTAGTTGGGATACTTGGGTCCGCTCGGTCCCTCGCACCACGGCATGATAACAATTGACATTCAATTACATTTCTTTAAATCGTTTCCCTGTCCCCGCCTCATTACATGTCGGTTCCCGGCGTGCTGAAATTTCGTATTCAACACTCATTTACCACTATGTGCTAGATCCCAGCCCACAGCTCAAAATCGGTAGGATTGAGAGATTATTTCTAAAGCTTATTGTGTTCGTAATCAGCATTATCCCCCCCTCTCCCCCCCCGTGCCAACTCTCAGCTCCGTCGCTCGAAGTTCGCAAAAAACTGCACAAAATCGATGTCCATCACTAAGGAAAGTAGCCCGCGACATTTGTCCCGCCACGGGGTTTATGTGTGCAAATTTTGGTCCAGATCAGTTCAACGGGATTTTCTATTTGAAACATATGTGCACCCATACATACATACAGACAGAAAACGACATCCAGCTCTATACAGTAAGACGAACACGGTCGAATTTTTGGGTCAGTAAGTAAGCAAAACCGAACCGACTCCACGTGGCCCTACAGTGCTTTCCTCCACTCAAGACAGAATATGGGACAGTCTTAGCACAACCCATTATGCGCGAGTAGGAGGGCTGGCAGTAAATTAAAGACTACAGCCATGCTCGCTGTTTGCTTTGAGCAAATTGTAAAGCTGTTGCTGTCAAAGTTCCATCCATGTACTGCAGGTGAATCAATCATTGTATCGCAGTAGTATTATTAGGTTGTTGCAAAAGTATTGTCCATTTTGCAAACTCTAACTTTGAAAAGCTATAATCTTGTCCAGTCTCCATATTTGGCGGCGTGGCGTTATACTACAAAGACCTCGCCGCCAAAGCTCGCCGCCATAGTCGGCACGCGCGCCGAGTAGCTTACTGTATCCCGCACCCATTTTGCACCGGTGAGCCTGAGCCATGAGGCAATCGTGCGAACGCAGTCTCGTCAGCTTTGTCGCCTGGCGGCGTCGCGCCGCGATGTCGCGAATTTTACAAGATGTTGCATGAAAATACTCAGAAAAAATTCCTTTTTCAGATTTTAACGTGCGATATCGTCCGTCGCGCCGCATAAAGTGAAAATTTCAGAAAAACTTGTTAACTTCTTGTTTTTTTTTGATTCATGTTCGTTTATATTTCCAAATAAAAACAAAAGATTCGTTTGGAAACTCTCTAGTGTTTCTTCAGTTTTCTTTTATTGTTTCACGTTTGTTTTGTCACTGCAAGCTGTGTCCTGTAACCTAGATTGCAAGTTGAGGTTGGTAACACGGCGATGATGACCTGCGGACTTAACCTGTTAGAACAAAAGTAGGCAGCTGATTCCAAATTTTCTTTCCTTAATTTTACTTGAAAATGAACATGAATCAAATAAAAACAAGAAGTTAACAAGTTTTTCTGAAATTTTCACTTTATGCAGCGCGACGGACGATATCGCACGTTAAAATCTGAAAGAGGAATTTTTACTAAGTATTTTCATGTAACTTCTTGTAAAATTTTCGACATCGCGGCGCGACGTCGCAACGCGACAAAGCTGACGAGGCTGCGTTCGCACGATTGCCTCATGGCCCAGGCTCACCGGTGCAAAATGGGTGCGGGATACAGTAAGCCAGCTCGGCGCGCGTGCCGACTATGGCGGCGAGCTTTGGCGGCGAGGTCTTTGTAGTATAACGCACGTCCTCCCCATATTTTGTGCAGTCAAGATTATTAGAAGCACCAAACCTTTCGTAGCTTAGCGCGCATCTGCAAGCGCTGATATCGCAAACGCGAAGAATGGCCGCGAGCCTGTAATGTACGACTGCCTAGATTAAACGTTAGCGAATGAGTGCCGCTGAAAGAATAGATAAAAATCCACAATTGTTCACTTTTTGGGCCTATCTCTGGTAGGCTTGAAATTGGAATTTTTCGTGCAATGAATGACAAAGTTTTTGTGCAAAAAATTGTACACAGGATTCCCAATTTTAAGCTTACAAAAACAAGCGAAGTTTTGTTACCTTAATCATGAAAAATTTTTGACCCATAGAATGCCGCCGATGAGAATCTATTTTAAGGCGAAGATTTCTCAGCCTAGATATTTGCGAAAAACCTAGTTATGTATGCAGTAGGTAAACAATAGACATTCAATATAATAGCCATGTTTTTGAGAGAATTCGTTCATCTGCGCCCGAATTGTGGCAGGAAAGTGAAAGCAATGAAATTTCGATCTTGACTGTTGCTGTGCAAAATGCTGGTAAAAACCTCACAAATGAGGATAGAAACCTAATTGTACTCTTCCAATGATGGCAAAAACTGTATCGAAAAAGGAGAGTTCAATGGAAAAAAGTTGTTTGAGAAATAAACTTGAAAAAACGGACTTTATTTTTGCATTGACCACAACTGTGACTCCTGGACAAGTTCTAGAATGATGATCAAACAATCTCAGCACATAAGTTTAACTGGGGATTGGTGATGAAAATTGGCTAACGTACCTCAATGCCGAGCTGGAGTTGACGGGCGGCGTACACTTCAAGTGACGGCATCGCGGAGAACGCTGCAAAAATAATCTTTTACACGCACATTCAACTGTAGTTAGACGTCCAGTTGTAGTCAGACGCGTTTTTACGTAACCTACAATCAAAACAACAAACAGCAGTGGCGAGAGTGATTGACAGAAATTCTGAGAACTGGCAAAAATACGGCTACTTCTCGAAAAAATCAAAAATTTAAGAAAGACGCCTGTAAATGACGGATCTGGGGTCATGATCCCAACCAAGTCACCATTTTGATTTGATAGGTTAGCACATGCTTTATGAAAGGGTCCAGGTACAATCACAGTTAAGACAGATGTTGCACTCGTAAATTTACCCCGAACATCGAAGACATTTTGCAGGCAAAAGTCATTATGTGACACATTTTGTACGCAAATCTCATCATTTGCCCTTACGGTGCACCGACTGTGCTAGGTCTGAAGCTATCTACTATGTTGAGTGCTTAGGCCATGACAAATATGTGGGTGGGGCATTGACCACACTGCTTGTGCATGTAAATAAACCCAGGTCGGTGAAGGGGGGAGAGCATAGCGACTCTGCTGAAGACGCAAAAAATTATGGTGGTAATGGAATCGCTGTTAAATGCGCCATCTTAGCTGTGGAAAAGGACAGGTTATTTGCTCGCAAACCATTGAAGGTTTATTTATCTTATCACGTGAACTCATGATGAATGGGAAAAATGAGTTATGATTGACTTTCGGATTCGTATAGAATTGGGTTGCGGACTTTTTGATAACAAGGATAGACTTGTTAAGCTTTCACGTCAGTTTTCGTATTCTCTCGTAATCAAAAGCTATGTTTTGCATTACCTCGCCTCCACTTCCATACGAATCTAGAAGCCGAAGATACTTCCAACCACTAGTGATCTAATGCCATTCCTATCCTTCTGCCAAAATGAGTATCTCACCATTAATTCACCAAATCTAGTGCGACTACATCCACTCTTTCGTCATTAGTGAATGAGCAAGGCATTGTCGGACCGCATGGCGATTCTGATAAGTCATTGACCTAAAACTTTGGCTATGTTTGTCTCGGACGAATACCTTGTGAAATGTGTAATGTAAGTTCACGTGACTGACTTAATTTTAGTTCTTTGAAGGCACCTGTCGCCGAAACGTGAGGCGAAATAAACTGTTCATAAAGTAAACCTTGTGAGATACAGATAACGTCAAGATAACGAGCCTTGTTGTTTCTTTCAAACTTTTGTGTTTCATGAAAAAAAAACAAGTTTCTGCATATTTCACAATAGGAATTGGGATGATGCCGAAGCGTATTGCGTTGCTCGTGGAGAACATCTCGCCTCTATACATAGCCAATTCGACAATCGCAATCTACAAGGTAAGTTTGCATCTTGCTTATCAAAATGAATAACCATGTGTCATTAACAATTCTTTGAATATACAAAGTGAAGAAATCGACGTGTGTGCGAAGTATATATAACTAGAGGCGTTATGCTTGAATTTTTTGAGCTTATACTTTGCATACGTATGTTTTCAACCCCGACGGAAAATATTGGCTAATTTTCGCCTCTCATTAATCCCTTCTATGAATATACTGAATAGTTTATGTACTTCTAAGGAACTGAAATTTTGCCATCCACGACCGGATCATTTTCCCATTTTTCCATAAACTCTATATATATAAAGCAGAAAGTTTGTATGTTTGTGCACATTCCACATAGTCATGAAGAATATGCGTAGAGCGTATGGTAAAGCGCATTTTTATCTGGTCATCAAGACATGGTAAGGACGGCAGGATTGGACCCAAGACGAATCTGAATGAAAGAAGAATAAGTTTTGCTACGTGAGAGGGTCAAGCACACAATGAACTGCCTCAAAACCGGAGGGGAACCCGGGTTGCAAGCTCGTATACTATACAGCAAGCCGTTCTAATGTTATAATATTTGTGTTCATGCTCCATTTTGATTTTAATTTGCGGAAATAGTAGCAACGGAATTCCTTCACCTAACCGGCGCTTCCACGCTAAAAACATTGTCTTGGTGCAATTTTGCTCTTTCAACTTATCGCAGCCTTCTCGCCATACTGGACCTATCAAAAAGGACCGTTTTCAAAGCTCTCAATGTCTGCATGCGCTGGAAAATACGTGTAAGTAGGCGGAGTCCGGACTGTGGAGGTGGAGTTAGGAAGACATCCGGAGTAATCTTATGTTCTCTAAACGTGCACTAGTTGAGAGGCTGTCGTTGCAACGTTGTAAAACCCCAGTACCCATCACTTTGTCGAAACACTGCCTTCAACAGAAAAAATTAGCGGTGTATGTACATAGAGCGGTAGGCGTGTAACGTTGGTGCATCTGCTCTTTGACATATGTAGTTTTACATAATCCCTGCGATTAATCGGTCAGAAGGCACAGTGTCAAAAGCCATTTTTGAACCTGCATGCATAAGATCTGGTCGCTCTCACAACGCCGCAGAAAATTCAATGCACTGCAAATAGCGTTTTGGCCAGCTGGAAGATATAAAGATTCTGCGGTGAATGAAGGCATTTTTGTGAACCTCCTTAAGCGCGAAACCAAAGATAAATTCTAAAGCTAAAGAATGCGGCGGAAAACACGAACTAAGTGCTATCCTGACCTAGCTGGCCAGCGCATTTCCTCACTACTGCTAATGCGCACGTGTTGAAATTTTGTTATCGCAAGAGACAAGATCTTCGAACTAGTACGGCGAGACGCCCTGCATTTCTTAAACATCACCTTTTCTCACTCACACACCCTCCTTGAAATGTCGAAAAAGATCCTTCAAAGAGCGTGCTGCACCATGTGCAGCACCCGTTCGGAACGTGTTGAAAACAAGACCGCTATGGCTTACTGCGGTAGAACTTTAAGATGTAACAAAACTTATATGACAAAGTAACAGTTTCGTATGAATTAAGAGGGACGAACAATTAGTAATCGTGGCTATTCAAGATGAAATGTACACCGCAAGACTCAACTCGTAACGCTGATTCCAAATCGGTCGCTTTGTTAAACGACCTTTTGATGAAATTTATGAGCTTCTTTTGATGAAAACTTGTGCATTTTTGGACAATCGAGATTATCAGTAATCGAACCAATTTGCTGCTTGTTGCTATAAAATAAAATCTTAGGAAGAGAACTATGTACTTAAATCAACTGATCTAAAGCTACCAGTCGAAAAAAGCAAGAAAATTTTGCATTGATGTATTTGAGCGTTCGTTACAGTGCATTTTATTTGAAAAAAAAATCATAATTCCAGCTCCGGGTAATCCTTTCGCAGAATGGAAGGCACTTTTCGAACCAGCATCCAAATGCGCTTCTATAAATATTCACCTCATTGTAAATGAGCGCGTTTACCAAGTTTTTTTTGCTAGAAAATTTATGAAGATAATGAAGTTGGACGTGCTCAATTCTGGCCATACACTCTTTATCTCTGTTATCGTAATAATAATTTTGAAGTTTCAAAAGTTTGCTTGACTTGGTCGCAATACAGGCAGAAAGGCGCGTATTGATTTGATGGTCAGTATACAAGAGAATTAGGAAAGAAGCATAAATTTGTTTTGTTCGTTTCGGATTCAGTCGTATAATCAGTATAATCCACTGCACTTTCGTATCCATTGACGAAACCAAAACCAATCTGAGATTATTGTTTCTGTGGAATAGGAATCCAGTATGGATGACGACTGCACAAACGCGCGCCTTTTAACTTACATCCCTTAAGACAAGCAGCTAATGACAGAAGGAAAAAATTTTTACCGTTTCACTTGCTTCTTACAAAGGCTTGACACCTTGGTTTGAAAAGGAATGCTTTTGTTGATAGTTAATTAGACGTAATACGTTTTTAATTTCTCCTCACAGATTCTAGGTCCTAAGCCCGATCGCATTGACATCCCGCTAGGGAGGGGACGCAGCTTAGGGCGCATGCAGACCATTCTCGCTGGGAAGAGGATAGCATCAAGAGAAAGCTTCATATGCTAAAACTCCAGATATCTAGACTCGGGCTATCTACCTATCCGTGAGTGTTCCTACCATCCTGAACATAATGAACAGGGACAAGAAGCTATATAGGCCGCAATTTCCAGTTTTCTCCATGATAATCCCCTAATGATCCCCAGCTGCAACCGTCTCTTCTTTAAAGTTATTTTCCTTCTTTCAAAGTCAAAAAAACGTTCCAAAACTGTGCGTTTTTGTATATATTTATCGGTACTTCAAAAACTCATTTGTTCTTATCAGCAACTTGCTTAGCACTATTGGGTTAGATAGTACAACTTTGGAAGGTTTTCGTTGATTTCAAAGAAACAAAAATGACTTTGAAAAAAAGATGGTTGGGCGCGGGGAATTATTAGGTTGTAAAGAAAGTTCCCGGGCACTTGCTAAAATTTTTTTCAAATTGCTTTGAGCAGATTGATTTTTTTTTGAAGTTACAAACTTCATTGCAAAGACAATTTTGTCCTGAACATATATTTGTCTTGCTGGCTTCTCAGTACCTCAGTGCGGTCCATCAGCATGCCAGAAGGGAAAAAGTCGTCGCTAAGAGTGGCCTATTTGTGCAGCATTATCTCAGGCACTATAAAAGCTGGAGAGTTCAAATGTTGTAATTTATTTGGCAGTCTGCTGGAGCTCTAATGGGGGCCGTTCATGTTTTTGCAGGACCACCTGCAAAATTTTTTTCCAGAAAGTTTGAAAAATCGACCATTTTTTGCCCCTAAAAAAGCACCATTTTTCGAGTAAATAACTTTGAAGTCTTGTCGTTCTGCATAGGGTAAACCAATTCTTTGATTACTGCGAATATCGTCGGAGTGATGCCTTGCACATCTTTTGGACCCATCATCGAGGCGTGGCGATTTCCGCAGAAGCGACGCCAGCTGCGAAATGAGTTGTAGTCTGAGGCTAGTTTGACGGCTTACAATTTCTGAGCGCAAATCGCAAAACTCGAGTGCAGCTGGGGTCAGAAGTCAACAGGCTCTTCTCAATCAAATATCCCAGGATTTGGACGAAATTCTTTAAAATGCGCAAAAAAATGGCCGTAGGAAGAAAAACTGTGAAATTTTTATGGTTGCAAAGATTTTCTTTTTTGATGTGCAGGTCAAACACGTCTTGGCATCGATAAAAATCACAAGCCGTGTTGAAAACCTTAGGCTTCCCTCTACTGAACAGTATAAAAAACTTGGTGGCAAAGTCCGACCGAGCGCCGAAAAAATGTGTCTGAAAATGGAATTTCCAGAAGTGCCCGGGAACTTTCTTTACAACCTAATATTAGAGGATTTACAAAAAGCTGGAAGATGCGGTGTACAGCTTCCTGCTTCCGCTTGATATGTTCTTACTGAAAAACGGTGGGGATACTTACGGATGGGTAGGCAGCGTGAAATCCACATATTTGGAGCATCAGGATATGAAGCTTCCTGTTAAGCTGCGGTCCTTTCCCCAGCAGGGATGTTAGCGCATGCGGCCCTTAGAAGAAAGCTTTATATCCTAAAACTCCAGCGCTTTGGATTTCATGTGTCTAACTACCCACAAGTACTTCTACAATACTTCACTGCAATGATAAAAGCGAGAAGTAAGGGTGCCTTTATACCGCGCCGGCAGCCGCCGCTAGGAGTCCGTAGCAGCCCGTAGCCGCCGCTGGCCGCTTTCGTTATCATATGCAAAACCATCAGATTCTTACTACTTTGATTGTACCCGCCCTTTTCATCTTTCGCGTTTTCTTGGTGTTGCCGCAAGCATTTAGTTCTATCAAAAATAGACAAATAGCATACCTGCAGAAACTGGACGCATCCAGAGTTGGAAGAACTCACCTCGCGAATGAACTCGGCGAACTTGCTAAGTAGTGACTGCAATCTAGATAAGCACCGATAGCAAAGGAAAAGATTGAAGCAGAACCATATTTGAAAATTAAACAAATAAAACAAAAAGAAACTGAACGCATCCAAAGTGAAAGGGAATCACACCGCGAAGAAACTTCGGCGGTTCTATGGTTCAGCTGCTAAGAAAATTGAGCATCACTAAGATAGCCAATCTACGGCAGTAAGATAATGACAAAAATGGACACAATTATAGCAGTAGCAGTCTCTAATTTTTGAGATCGAAGTACATACGGTTGGCAGCAGGAAGAAAAAAGCGTGGAAAGTGAAAATCATAGGCGGTGATGACTTTTGTGTGTGATAGCAAAAGCGGCCAGCGGCGGCTACGGGCCGCTATAGGCTGCTAGCGGCGGCTGCGAGCGCGGTATGAAGGCACCCCAGTTGCATGCTCCAGCTTCTTATATGGTTCCCAGCTGATGCCTGACGGCCAACAGTCTTTTCTTAAAGTATTTTTCCTTTCTCCGAGACCAATGAAAACACTCTGAAGTTGTATTGTTATTCGGACCA